AAACAAACTGAGGGTTCTAGAGGGGAGGTGGGTGGGAGGATGGGTTAGCCTGGTGATGGGTATTAAAGAGGGCATGTTCTGCATGGAGCACTGGGTGTTATATGCAAACAATGAATCATGGAATACTACATCAAAAACTAATGATGTAATGTATGGTGATTAACATAACATAATAAAAAAAATGTACATCTTAACTATGTGCAGTTTATAGTTGTTAATTATAACTCTTAAATAAATCTTCTCAACTTGCCATGTCTTAATCATTTTAGTATGTTTTATTATCGTCTATGTTCTACAGGTTATTTGCAGCTACTGGATCAGAAGGCTGGAAATAGAATGCTGTGCCTGTGGCGACTCTTCCCAACTGAGCTCAGTGACATCACATTGACAGCCTGAAATTGGCCATAGTGGGAGTATTTACACCAGAGAACTTGAAAGACACTACAAACCAGGACTTACATGTATTACAGAAAGTCTAGACTTCAGAACGTAATGGAAAATATGTAAATAATGCAGATTAAACTTAAAAGTGTGTGGTGTATGTAATCTTACCTTGTACATAGCACAAAAACACCTGAGGAACAAAAATAAGCTGTTTCTTTGTTAATAAAAAAGGAAATAGCCACAATTCATAAAAAAGAAAACAGGCAAAAGATATGAATAGACATTTTATCATGAAGATATACAGATGACAAACACAAGAAAAAAATGTTCAACATCATAAATCCTTAGAGAAATGCGATTAAACTTACTGCTTGCTTGTTAAAAGGGTAAATTCCAAAGACTGAACCAAAAGACCGATGCCAAGTACTAGCAAGGATGTGAAAGAACTGGAACGCTCATGCACTCCTGGTGAGTATGCAAAAGCAAAAAATCATTTTAGATCAGTTTGAGCAGTTTCTTAATAAGTTAAATATTCACCTATCTTATGACTCAGGCATTTTACTTTGAATTACTAACACAAGAGAAATGAAAACTATATATATATATTAAATTATACACAAATGTTCTAGCAGCTTTATTTGCAATCGACAAAACGAAGTACCAAAGGTCCCTAACAGATGAATGGATAAACAAGTGGTATATCCATAGAAAAGATACTATGCAGCAGTAGAGTGAAATATTTATATAAGCATCATTCAAGAATCTCAAAATAATTATAAATCATGAATGAAACAAAAAAATAAACACTTTATGACTCAGATCATATAAAATTCTAGAAAATACAAACTAATTTATTATAAATGAAGGTAAATCAAAGGTTGCCTGGGGACAGGAAAGACAGATTATAAAATGACATGAGGCAAATTAGGGGTGACGGACATGTTCATAATCATGATTATGATGAAGTTTTGTGGGTTTATACGCATGTCAAAACTTAACAAACTGTACACCTCAAATAGGTGCAGTATACTGCATGTCAACTATACCTGAATAAAGTTCTATGAAATAGTTCCAAAAAAACAAACAAACGAAAAATACAAAACCCTAGGTCTCCCACTCTTTTCATAAAATCAGGTTTGGCAGCCCTATATTGACTCTGTCTCTTTCCTGATGACCTTGGAGGAGCAGCCTTGCCTTAGTGGTAGCAAATATTTATGAGCAAGTAAATCCATTGCACTCAGTGAACAGGAATTTTGGCTAGGTCACAGAGGCACACTGAGGGACTAAGGGATCTCCTTTCTCTGTGTGCTTGTTTTCCTATCTGTGTAGAATTGGCCTTTAGGTGAACTCTACCAGAAAGGCTATGGGAATCCACAAAACCAACAGCTTGTTTTCTTTGACAAAGATCTCAGCCACAAAAGATGCACATACCTGGAGGTCCTGAGAGTTTCTGGGCACACTGAGCCTGCACAGTCAGTCACTGGAGCTTTTGTTGACGCAATGCTAGAAGGGGCACACGCCATCTACTTTGCTGCAGTCTTCTCCACTGCAGTGTTATTGTACCGATTATAGTTCCCCCAGGGCCCTGTGTTCTCACCATGACACTAGCCTAGAGAATTCTGGGTATCAGGGCACATGACTCCTTTGCAGGACGTGGGGTAGAGATTCCCCTCAACACTACTGAGCATTATATGACATCCACTGTGAAAAAGAAAAACAATTTGTGTAGTTCTCAGAAGCACTGGAGGTTGTCACAACTTCCTGACTCTTCAGAGTGTTCTCTGAGCCCACAAAAAAATCCTGATACCCAGTCCATAAATTAGGACAAAGCCCTGCAGTCTTTCCTAGGAGACCTCAGGCAACAATGTAAATTAGGCCAAAGCTGGAAAGAGAGCTATTTTCTTTCATCAGACTGTCATCTCTGAGGCACACAAAGCATTGGGAACCCCAACAAAGCTGTTCACTCTTTAATGCTGGCAGAGCCCAGCCATTTTCAAATCACCTCACACAGTGAATAGAACCCCAACAATAATGTCTTTATTACTATAAAATCCAAAGCAATATGAGGCAGGGAGATCCCAGGTTGGTGACTTGGAGGATAGGAAAATCCAAGAGGAGTGTCGCACAAAACTAACACATCCTTGAAAATGCGGTCCTTCTTGGCAAGTTACCAGCAGAACTCAGATTGGGTCCACTGGGCCATGCCCTAACTTCTACATGAGAAGAGAATGAAGACCCTATAAGGGCTAAGAATAATCATGATTTCCTCCAGCAGAAGGGGAGGGAAAGAGGCAGCTTCCCTGAGCACATTGTGGTGGTTAACTAATGTACTAATGCACACTGTATGAACCTGCTGAGTGGTAGAGGTGACAAAACTCTTCCACGGAAACTGGTAGTGACATAAATCAGGCAAGATCCCTAGACAGTTATAGATTCACACATACTTCAACTAAAGGGAGATCTCCCCATTGTGGATTTTAACATGTACAGGCTTAAATTTAGGTAGATGGCTTCCTCACAACATCTCTCCTCCGTGTAATTATCTAAAAGGAAACTGCACAGCCCTGTACATCTAAGGCCTTTCTCTAGTATGAAGTCTCTGGTGTTGAATGAGGTCAGATTTGGAGCTAAAGGATTTCCCACATTCTCTGCACTCAGTAGGCCTCTTTCCAGTGTGAACTCTCCGATGTTGAATGAGGCTGGAGCTTTGGCTAAAGGATTTTCCACATTCCCCACACTCATAAGGCCTTTCTCCAGTGTGAACTCTCAGGTGTTTAACGAGGTTAGATTTGCAGCTAAAGGACTTTCCACACTCACTGCACTCAATAGGCCTTTCTCCAGTGTGAACTCTCCAGTGGTTCTTGAGGTTGGAGCTATGGCTAAAGGATTTTCCACATTCCCCACACTCATAAGGCCTTTCCCCTGTGTGGACTTTCCGATGTGAACTGAAGCTGGAGCTTTGCTTAAAGGATTTCCCACATTTACTGCACTCATAAGGCCTTTCTCCAGTGTGAAGTCTCCTGTGGTGAATGAGGCTGGAGCTTCGGCTGAAGGATTTCCCACATTCACTGCACTGATGAGGCCTTTCTCCTGTGTGAACTCTCCTGTGGTAAATGAGACTGAAGTTTTGGCTAAACGACTTCCCACATTCACTGCACTCATAAGGCCTTTCTCCAGTGTGAACTCTCTGATGTTGAATGAGGTTGGACCTTTGGCTGAAAGATTTTCCACATTCCCTGCACTCATAAGGCTTCTCTCCAGTGTGAACTTTCCTATGGCTATTGAGGCTGTAGCTTTGGCTAAAGGATTTCCCACATTCATTGCACTCATAGGGCCTTTCTCCAGTGTGAACTCTCCGATGTATAATGAAACTGGAATAATAGGTGAAGAATTTTCCACATTCACTGCATTCGTAAGGTCTTTCTCCAGTGTGGACTTTCTGGTGTTGAATGAGGTTACATCTTCGGGTACAGGCTTTTCCACATTTGCCACACTCATAAATTCCTTCTCTAGTGACAACTCTCTGGTCCTGAGCAAGTGTGTCTGTGTAGCTGAAGGCTTTCTTGCATTCTCCACAGTTGTGATGACTTCTACCACTGTGAAAGACAGCCTCACACTCATTGTTCGGCTTCTTCTTCCCAGTGTGAGTGACCTGTTGTTGGAGAAATCCCACGCTGGCTAAGAAGTCCTTCCGTGTCTCCTCACAGGTAAAGGGCTTCCCTGACACGTGGACTGTACAGTTCTTTATAAAGGAGGCTCTGTCCACATAACTTCTGAAGGGTATCTCTCTAGTGTGCTGCCCCTGGAACTGTTGAAGATTGGCAGTTAAACAGAATTGTTTCCTACATGTATATGGTTCTTCCCCAAGATATGTTTCTTGGTGCTCAGCCAAATACAAAATGTTTCTCAAGATTGGGCCATGCAATTCAAAGGGCTGGGCCTTCTGGGAAGATGAAACTGCCTTGAGAGCCCCAATCTGTGACACTCCTATAGAAATGCTCTCTTCAGAAGGTGCATCCTCATCCTCCACTCCATGCCAACAACCTGAAAGCAAAGAAGTGATGATGAAATACATGTTGACTTTATTGGGAAGGAGCAAAAACCATCACAAATGTACATCTGACACATTAAAGAACCAGTATACGGAACTGTTTTCAGGAAAAGGAAGTTGGGGTTAGGTTTTGAAAGCAGCTGCTTTGTACTACTGGGTTTCCCAAGGTCAAGAATTGGGAAGTCCTCACTGGGCACAGGATACAAGGAAAGGGTTGGGCCAGGGTGAAACACATGTTTTACAACTCATGTTAATGGCTTTTAGCAGGATTACATCTGCTGATAACATGTGATGCTGTGCAGAAGTCTATGTCCACATGTAGGAAAATCTGACTGGAACAAAATAAACGGTTTTAAGAATAAATAAAAGATGGGGCGCCTGGGTGGCTTAGTCAGTTAAGCATCTGACTCTTGATTTCAGCTAAGGTTGTGATCTCAGGGTAGTGAGATCGAGCCCCATGGCAGGCTCCGTGCTGCGTGTGGAACCTGCTTAAGATTCTTTCTCTCCCTCAACCTCTGCCCCCCACCCCTCTCTTAAAAAAA